TGAAGCGCTTCTCAAGGCCGCAGGATCACAAGCTTGACATTGTCATCTATTGTGAAGTGTTGCAATGGTCGACGTCTGGGGCATGCCGTGTCAGCTGCTCGAGCATTTTGGTGTCTGCCTTCATTCTCTGGGACGATCGCCAGCAGAACGTCAGCAGCAACCGTCCAGCTCCTGAGTCCAGCTTAAGCCGGCATTGGAGCCAGAGGCGGCCAATCAGCTTTGACTTTTCTTGCTTCGCGCTATGCGAAGGCTAAGGTTGAGGTTGTGTGCAATTTTCCCCCTGACCAGTTTTTGCAAGGACTTGGATGCGTCCCAAGTGCCTCGTTTGTGGTTGCCTTGATTGTGCTGCAGGGCTGGAATTTGGCAGGGGAGAACTTACCGGCAAGAACAGTCACAGCTCACACGCATAGACGGTATTGGCAACGGGAAGATGTTGGCATGGTAGGCGGGTTTCAATAGTCCACGGCGGAGGGCCTCGGCAACGAGACGTTATATTCGGCTTTCGACCCTGGGAAGCGAGGAGCTTGCGGAGGCAGGGATAGGCAGGGCAAAATGAATGTCCAGGAGTTCAACGATGAGGAGTGGGCGAGGAGCGTGACGCCGCCGTCGTCGTCGTCGTCGCTGTTTCAACGGTGGCACTGGTTGCGGTGGTGGTGATTGTCACAGCAGCAGTCGCATGTTCTGGGTCTTCAAAAGCTAAGGTGCTTTTTGTACCGACACAAAGGAGGAACAGGTGACGTAATGCAAGGAATATGAGAAAAGTCCACCCACCTGCAACTTTTGAGTTCCCAAGTGGTGCCCCTTCCTATCAATTCGAGGTGTCAAGCAAGGCAGCGCATCATGGTTTTGCAGAGACATCCCGCTCGCTTTCGTGCGATGATTGTGCAGGCTTTGCAGCAGCGAGATCCGACGGCACACCCTGAGGCGTAATTGCAACGTGGTTCATGGGCGGGGCAGCATCCTGTTTGTACGGTGGCACTCGTCTAAGTCTTGATGGGAATCCCGCGTCGACAGCTTGTCACGAACATATGCAGGTGCAGGCTGGCAAGAGCGATGGAACATCGCTTGATCATAGCATTGAGGTGTGGCACACACCAGCGCGAGTGTTTGGGGTGTTGGCTGACGTCAGGTAGAGCAACTTAAAGCGCGCGCCTTCCAAGCGGAAGAACGACTGGAGGTGTCATCTGTGTTATGTGGCTTGAATCGATTGTCGGGCTAGCTGCAGGCGTTGCAGAAAGACATCGCATCCAGTGAAGAGGCGGGATTGTGATTGTTTGCAAGCTGTAGTCGACTCTTGTCGCAAAGACAGCGTGTCCGAGTGAGACTCAAAATTACACAGAGTTTCTTCAAGCTCATGTGCCAGTTGGAACCGCTCCGAGCGCGTGCTGCTCAAGCCGAAACGCAGCTTCAGGTGAAAGACACTCTGCGGAAGCTTGAAAACCTCATGGACGGGGCATGCTGGTGGTGTGCAGGCAGCCACCTTGGAAAGCCAGGCCAAGCAGGCGGAGCTGGAGGTTCCGAGCATTGCAGGGGTAGTGGAAGGCAATACCTGACACAGTTGCCGTGCGCAGGCGTGGCAGCAGAAACACGCAGCCTCAAGCGCAGAGGTTGCACAACGTGTCACATCAAAGATTCGCGACTCTTGATGAAATGCCAGGTGGTTCAGCTCAGAACCCGACTATCGGAGGTTGAAGAAGAGCTAAAGGTGCGGCGCTTACAGGATGATAGGCACTTTGTGCTGCTTCTGCTTTGTGGCCGGGTGGAATGAGTGCCGGTTGTGCAGGCCCTCCAGCACAGTGCAGCAGCACCAGTCCAGCATGCAGAGGTGGGTTGCCTCTGTCCACTGTTTGTGCAATTATGTGCACGGCCATGTGGCGTGTTGCAAACTCAGACTGGATCATGAAAGACATGGTTGTTGAATTGCATCGAGATGTGTCTCCTCGGGCATCGTCGAAGCATGTCAACGTCGGGATACTTTGCTAAGAAACAGAATGTCTTCTTTGACAGGATGCCCAAGCTGCCAAGGCACGTTACCTTCGAACTTGCTGACGATCATTTTTGCTGCCAGCTTTGTCGAAGCACAGGCTTTGCGCGATGTCCGCATGCATGCTGAACAGCAGCTTGCGTGGATCTTGCAGCGAATGGGCGTTACTCATCAAGCTGCCGCCCTTGCTTGCTTTATCCTGGCACAGACTGTGAACTTTGAACTCTTTCATGCCTTGAGATCTTTCCGAGCGTGCGAAATGGCAGGCAGAGTTACAGAAGGTTGGAGCGACTGCTCCTTGCGTGTGACTGCCAGGGCCTCTGCAGGTGACAACTTTACGTTACGTTGCCTTGCAGAGCATGCTATCATGTAAAGTTTAGCAAAGGTCTTGGTTAATCCTTGCACAACAGAGCTTCATGTCATGTAAGAAAAGCGGTGCATCATGCTGATGGTTCGTTTGGTGAGGCCATAAATTCGTCCTGAGGATGCCCTCGCACTCTCCGACACGGTGAGTGCTAGGTCCTGAACCTGATATGTACAACTTCATCAAACTCTACAGTGACCAGATTCGTCTTTTGCTTGGTGCAAGCATTGACTCTGTGCAGTGCTTGCCGATATGCTTGACATTGAAATTTCACACTCCCTGTTTCACCAATAGACGATCTGAGATCCCGAACAATCGGGTCATGCTTTCGGAATGATCGAAGTCTAACTACTCCAACGCACTGACGGCGCATTCACTGATGCAGTTTGAATGCGAAAGCGGTTCACGAAAGGAGCAAGGCTCCCTTTGTGTGGGCTGTAGCAGGATGTAGCAGGGACGGTGGCCGCCCTGGGCACAGAAGTTGTGCGTTTGAGGTGATCTGTGCCTGAGGGACTGGCGACCTTGTCAGGGATTGCACTTGTCTCATCAAAAGCTCACATGCCCGAATTCAAGCTGGACTCGATCTTCGACCGCCTTGGAGCAAGGGCATGTGAAATGCACAGTTTCCGGCCGGCTCACACTCAGCTGAGTCGATTTCTCTTCATAGCCGAGGAAAGTGCCTGGTATTTGAGGCCAGTCTGCATACAGCTGAGTGGCCAGGCCGATGAACGATGAAGCAAGTTTTTCAGCACATGGGCCTCAACGGCACCCTGCTAGCAAAGAGATCAAAAGCGGAAATAGAAAGAGGGAGAGAGAGAGAGAGAGAGACGCCGACTGCAAAGACACTGGACAGTGGCGTAGCGCGTGAGCGCAGGGGTAGTGGGGGCAACCCCACCCCAAACGCCGTGCAAGCAAGCCAGCAAGCAAGCAAGAGAGAGAGAGCGAGCAAAGCGAGAGGGGAGCTTCCCCTTGTCCCTAGCCCTGTCGAAAGAAAGAGCAAAGCGAGATGGGATTCAGTACGTTGACAGCAAGTCTGACAAGGCCGAAGCAGGACTTTCTTGTGCAGCCGACCTTTCAGCCCATATTAACATCTAGGTCCTAGGTCCTAGGTCGGAAGTATCTCAGAACGGCACTTAGTTACTTGAAGTTGTACGTATCGCAGCCTTCAGTTGTCCAGATTCTGTAGTGCACACATTACCGCACTCCGTAGACCAAGAATCCGAGGAATGGTAGAGTCCATAAAATCATCATGTTGACGCCGCCCTCTGTTCATCGTTCGGTCGTTGCGCAGAACGCCTCGGAGAGGCGTGCACTTGCCGCAGAGAGGCGTGAGGAGGCGCTGGCAGCGCAGCTGGTGCAGGAAAGAGCTCGTGCAGTGGAATGCAGACGACAACAGCTACAACTTGCCCAGTGCGAGCGAGAAACCTATTTGGGACAGGTTCGAGCCTTCTTTGATATGGCATGCTCCGTGCAGGGCATACACGACAAACCTGTTAGTCTTTGTCATCCGTCTGTTGGGCCGGGCGGGAACCGAGCAGGCAAGAGCTGCAGTTCGAGTGAAAGGCGACCAGCCTCCGTAGACAGAACTGCGGTGACCGCGGTGTCTAAGTCGCAACCTGGATGGAGCGAAGTGTCCACCGCTGCTCCCTCAACTGTGGGCGAGGAGGATCAAGTGGATCTGTGCACTACACCTGCAGAGGCAGACATTGGGTCAAGGCTTAGCGCATCTTTGCGTGCTTGGTTGAATCGGGCTGACGATGATGCTTACAAGGAGACTCGTTGGGCTGTCGGCAGCAAAATTCCTGAAGAGATGGAATGCAGCAACTCGCTACAGCAACTCGAGGTTGCGCTCGCAGGGGAGATCAGGGCAGGTGAAGAGAGGGATCCGTTGGATGACACCCTTTCTTCCAGTGAAGATGACGTCCCCGAGTCACGTGTGCCGTCAACAGAAGTTCGTGGTCGCGCTTTGCCTTGCTCCAAGTCCGACAATGCCACGAAGCCTGCGCGTGCACAAGCAAGTGCCAATGCATGCGACAGCTCACGTCCCAGGCGAGTCATCCCAGCAACAACGTGATGCAAAGTCTCTGCTCAGTGGTGCTGCTATCACGCCAGGGCAAGCTAGACCCAAGCTGAATGAAGTGGTAGCACTTGTAAAGCCTTGGCATCAGAAACTGGATTCGACGTAAGCCAATTTCGCGACGTCCTGGAGTTGCCTGTGGTTTGGATCAGTTTGTGGATCCTGGCAGGTGTTCTGTCCCAACAGGGCAGTGCGCTGTTGCTGTGTGCAGGCGACTAGGGACTCCGGAGAGCAGTGAGCAGTGGCCTCTCTGTCCGGCGTAGCCTAAATTTGACTGCTGGAGGACGACAGATGTGGAGCGACGCCGCAGACTTGAAGCTGCGCCAAAGAAGTCAGCTACCCAGAAATCTGCTCTGTCTGCTCTGCCAGAAGCAGGACACCAACACACAAGCACATCTTAGACACGAGCATGACTGCCAACCTGTGATTGCTCTTAGTGTTGGCTTCGTTTCGTTGATACCACGACTTTCTCACACAAAAGAATGCAGCAGTCCACGGGGTGGGAGTTTGTATATTGATTTCGGGCAGACACTCAGAGAGGACATTATTCATTTGGTGTGACCGTGTTGTCATGATTGCCGAGGGCGCACAAATCACAGGCCAAGCAGCAAAGCAGGCAGGCAGTGTTGTCGAAGTAATCGGCCAAAAATCCTGTGCCCAGCGATGGCTCAGGACGCCAGCGACAATGACCTCGCTGAAGGCTTTGTCTAGTGAAGAGGAGGCAGTGGCTGCTAGGTGGCGATAAAGCGTGTGCCTAAGTCTCTGTTGCAAGGCTCTGCAGAAGAGTTTGCTGCGCTTAGACTTTGAGGACAGTTCTGTCAAATCCGGATGCAGTGCGACAGTCTCTGTCACTGCTAGCTTCTTGCTACCATCTCTTGTGTCACAGGAGATGAAGCGTCAGTTCAGTGGCAAAGAGCCCTTGTGGCGAGATGCTGAGGCTGCCATGGTGATCCGTGATGCTGCTGCTTCTCACGAGCATCTGACCCAAACCGCTAGTGAGCGGGCAGGTGATGCGTGATACCTTCAAGGATGACCCTGACAGAGAAAACAAGCTCCAGGCAAGGTCAAGCGGACCGGACGAGAGGGCACAAACAAAGGTCTGCAGTCCAGGCATCTCTCCAACGACTTGACGGAGCTTTCAACGCTCTGCAGAGTCAGGTGGAGGTCTCGAGTGCATACCGGATATCACCCGGCTGCTCAGACAGGCGTGTCTCGGATCTCCTTTGCTGCAGGTCAGGCTGGAGAGAGAGCGGGCGCTTGCAGGCAGGTGATTTAAACTAAATCCGACTATGTCAGCGTTTCCGCACGAGACAGGCTGTGACAAGAATCCAGGAAAGGCCACTGCTCCAGCTTGCCAAAGGCCATCTGACCAGTGTACTGAGCCTGGACAATGCGTCGATTTGTTGGAACACAGGCGGAGACCATTCAGCGCTGTTGGTCGTGGCCGCGCTGTGACTAAAAGACGAGCTCGAAGTCAGCCTACAGTGCGCAGCTCACGGCATGACAGTGTTTTTTTCGCCAGATGTGAATGTTGGGTCTGCGTAGATCATGTTTTGCTGGCTTTCGTGCCCCGTAGGTTTGAAGTAGGAACTCCAACAGAGGTGCCGATAATATCATGTCCCCCGACTTCCAACTCCAAAGGCGTGAGACCGCATGGAGATGCACAGCGTTTGTGCCGATATGCAGTCTGTGGCAGAACATGTGCAGGCCGTGCAAGTACATCCACGACGGAGGTTGGATAATGATGTTTTTCTGTGCGGGCCTGGGCGGCTCTTTTCGGGCCTGATTTCAATGCAATTGCAAATGTTGTCGCATGCGCAGAGAAGGAAGGCAGGAGATTCTCCTGGTGTCTAAGTTACTGCGGCGGGGAAGTTCAGGTCGTTTCTCAGTGCTGTTCTGACTCTCAGACCGGAGCTCAGATATTCACAAGAAGCACATAGTTACTTTCGTTAGACATAATCAGGCCCCAGATTCACCCCCACAGGAGAATTCTTGAATCCATGTCACAAGCACATGAATGTAGATGTATATGTATGTACAGCCTGTTATTGTGAGACGTGCATGACCATATGTCATGCGATGTTGAAACGACATCCCACCTTGCTCCTCGGACATGATGTGTCAGAGGATGTCTCACCTGAATTGTGGTAGTAGAATCAATGGAGCATGCTGTCGGACTGGTGGCCAGGGCCCTAAGCTTGGCTTGAAAAACCGCTTCAACTTTCTAGCCCAGGCTCTCTGCTGTCTCTTCTCGTCACTTTATTAAAGTTTGACTGTACAATTGCTTGGAACGTATGCAGATTTTGTCAAGACCGGAACCGGGCGCGACATGCTCAACAACATCATGAAACAGCCCCCGCGAGAAATTTTCTAGATTCCGGAGAGCAGAGCTGCAACCGTGCTTGGCTCAAAGGTACTTTCAGGGGTTGGCATGTTCCACAGTATTTAGCGCGTCTCGAACTTAGTTACTGGCAAGCTAAACTGTTGCAGTCAGGGCAGCTGACATGCGTCAGACCTACATCACGGAAAGCGGTTTGAACGCAGCTGACTGTGGTCGTCCTCAGAGGTAGCGCCGGAGTTGTGTGTCTCGCGAAGGCCTTGTGACACCTCGCCAGGCGATGGATGTGAGCCCGCAGCAACGGGAGCTTGTGGAGCAGGAGCCACTTCGGAAGATCCCAGGGCAAAATACTGGCGAGCAGTGTTGTCCCTGCAGGTGAAAATCTGGTTCACTTGCACTGAGATGGAGGTGTGCTCTGATGCATCCTTGCACGGGTGCAGTGACCCCCCCTGGTGCCAGCTCGTGTGCTGAGGCCCTGGTGCAGACGGCCGTTCAATTTGCAGATGCACACTGTGCTGTGTTCGAGCCCGAACTGGGCGAGCACAAGCTGGAGTGCGCCACATCGGGCGTTGCGTCGGATACTCGGGAGGTCCTTCTTCAGATATGTTTGTACTCGTTTTGCATGCTTTTTGCTCCTTCTGGCTGCTGCAGTGCAGGTACACCCGGCTACACAACGAATTCAAGCAGCTTTTCGAGGATGCTGGTTCATTCTTCGGCAGCATCCCGCCTGTGTCGCTCTCTTGTCTACCTTGTTCACTTCGCGCCAGATTGCAAGCATGGGCAGCACTGTCACACGGCACACGGTGGTCAGGACAGGCTGAATGCCTTCTTGAGCAGCGTCGGTGCAACGCCCGAGGCATTGTAGACATGAAGCCATTCACAGCCCAGCGTCTTGCACAACTGCCGATACAACTTGGAAGGCGTTCTACGATGCTTTTGAAAAAATCGGGACGGAAGAAGGAGGCATCCTCACTATTGTTTCATCCGGAGCAAGCAGCTGCAAGATGGTCACATGAGTGCAGGCGAGGTGCAGGGACTTGCAGAAATCATGTACACCTGTCTGCAGTACGACTTCTTCTGCCAGGCACGCGGCATTCAGTTTCGTTCGTGTAGATCGCGTCCTGGAGAGACTCACGAAAGTTGATGGCCTAGACCCTCAAGCAAGGTTCTGGCACAAGACAGCATGGATCGTCCCTTTCCTTACGGTTTCCCTTGAACGGCACACTGAGTGCCAAGTTTGACTTCATGCCGGTTACATCCGATCACCATTTTCAAACATCGGGCTGCTGGAATGCTGTTGGGATTTGACTTGACATTGGACTCCATGCCGATCGAGATTGAGCACCTGCACCTGATCGATCGTCAAATTCAGATCGGTATTCAGTTCCATCGATACGATCCGATCATCCGGGCGGGATTGGGAACCCTAGTTTTCTGGTACCTGACCTGTCGACCTCGACTGCCATGCCGCTTTCCCACAACTTATGCTGGAGGTTTACATGGGTCTATAGTCCACCCCACGCTTTGGCGTTGGACAGATGCAGGACGTAGGGGGCTCCCTATGTTTGCTAGTTTACCGTACTTGACCCTGCTTCTTCCCGTACATGGTCGACCAACCGAGGACGGTGGCTCCCAGTGTTGCAACTATAATCCTCGCAATAGACTGGCAGGTGCAAATGGCCACATGTTACACGGGGTGCATTTCTGCATTAAGCGTGATTTGCCCCAACTTGCACCACGATTCCCCGCGCTGGACGACAACAGCCCCAACGTAGCATGCAACCCCTGAGTCATGTGTACATTGCCGTGAAGGGACCCGACAAGAGGCGAACTGCGATTGGGCTTTTTTCTTTTTTGCTATTTTGCGATTGTTGAGTAGTCACGAATACCCCCTGTGCGTCGGGTGAGCCACATCAACGACTGCAAAAGACTCCTTTCTGCTCAAGCTTTCCCTTGTGGTGGCAGGAAAGTTAACCCAAATCCTGCCACCGAAAGCACCCTTAACAGACTTGCTCCTCGTGTATGCATTTCCCTGAGTGTGTTTCCCAATTAGTGTGTTTCCGCCGATTTTTCCGCTATTTTTTCTGGACATTCGTTTTATCGAAAGAGCTGCTGAAGAAAAGGTTTCACCTGTGGACACGCTCCTCGCACCGCGAAAGAAAGAGATACCCTGAAACAGATGTAGGGTTGCAAAAGTAACAATTGTTGCTCCAGCAGGAAGTGTAACAGTTGTTGCTCCAGCAGGGAGTGGGCAACTCGTGCGTGAGCGACTTGTTGCCTTTTCCAGTGCCTTTTCCTCACCTTACATCAGCAGCAGCAGCTCCAGCCCCCCGGTTGACTCACTTCACCCAACCCGAAGTCCTGTAGATATTGCCATCTCCGAGTACATCGCGCTATATCCCATCAGCGCGAACTCTTCTTGCCAGATCATGTGCGAACGGAAGCGTGAGATGGAAATGCAGCAGGCTTCGCTCGTTTCCCCAGTTCATTGCCCACAAACCGTGATTCAGCTTGGCGTGCTTCGCAGGCAAGCGGTGTCCTTCCAACTCCGCCGCCTGCGCCACCTGGTGGCTATGCAGGCGACAAAATGACCTTGTGCAGATGCACTTGAAGTTCTATCCGACACCAGACAGCATCTGACATCAACGTTCTCGCAGATCCACGAGCTCAAGATGCAGAAGGTTATTGCGCTGGCGCGCCGCTGGCACCTCCCTGAAGCCAAAATGCGCTTTCGCCAAGTGTGCAGTGCCGGCTTGAGCGCAGGGTCGGGTGCAGTTCCATGGAATTGCCAGCCTCCTTTCAACATTAACATGTGGCTCAAATTAGAGTGTGCAGGTCGACAGCTTTCAGAACCCACTCCATTCTGAGACTTGGTACTCAGACCGTATCCTTCAGAAGCAAGTCCTTCACGAAACTGCATCCGTCTTTCTGCGGGTCGTCTTGGTTCAGTTGTCAGCAGAAGTCAGAGACTCGCAACACAAACGACGCGGGGTCTTGGTATGCCTCGGCAAACGGTTCTCCAAAGTAGCAATCAAAGCAGGGCCTTCCATGTCGCTTGACAAAGTTACAGCAGCGCCACCCTCAAGAGTGTAGACCAATGAGTCGAAGAAATGGACTAGTAGTTTCTCGTCTGAGCATTTCCAGGGCACTGGCGGAAGTTCGTCTTCCAAAGCAGCCCGCCCGGTGCGATCGCACAAGGCAGAGAGTCGATGTCTTTTGCATTGTCTGCATTTGAAACAATTCGGATTCGTAGTTTGCGTGGTCTATGGTTGCCGTGCTTCAGGTCGTTTTCCTGGGGCAGTGCGGCACTGGCAAGACAGCACTCATCCGACAGTTTGTGCACAGGAGTGCTGGGCTCCGGGTCATGTGTTTGTTCTCGTTGAGAGTTTTAGAAGGACCTTTGACCAGAACTACACTGCCACCATTGGCATGGACTTTGTTGGAAAGTTGCTCTCTCTTGAGGCAGAGTTGGGGTTCCCACCTGCAATCAGAACTTCCCCCACAACCAAGGGACGGCAACTGCGCCTGCAGCTCTGGGACACCGCCGGCCAAGAGAGGTTTCGAGCATTGATGCCCAGCACTGACCCCAGTGCCAATGCCAGCAATCTTCTGACAAAAGCCAGCGTTTTGGAAGTCATGGTAGTCGTGTCTCGTTCGATCCGTTTTGCAGGTTATCTGAGAGACAGCTCGGCCTGTGTTGTCGTGTACGACGTCACATCCAAGGCGCAGAACTGTCCTCGCATGAACTCGCATGAAGCTATCGAGACAGCAAGCCTTCTGCCCCTGGGTGGTTGCTGAACCCAGCGGGGTTGGATGTTCCGACATCGTTTTGCCATTCAGTCAGAGCCGGGTAGAGCCAGAGAGTAGAGCCGTTGTGCAGGAGTCCTTTGACAGCATCCGTGGCTGGGTGGACTTGGCCCTTGAGGACGGGAAGCTGGCTCTGAAGAGAAGACATTGCTCAGATTGACAGCTTTTTGCAGGGTCGCTCTCGCCGCGACTTGCTGCTCGTTCTTGTGGGAAACAAGATCGATCTGGAGGCACGTCAGACACTGCGGCAAACAGGTTTGCCTGCTCAATGACTTTTTCCTGCTCACCTTTGGCATTGTCTTGTGAAGAGGTGCGAAGCATCAAGTAACGGCACATGTTTAGTAAGGACAGATATGAGCCATTTCGAACAACACCATGGAAGTTGCACAGCCAACACTTGCAAGAAAGCGTACTCCCCGGCAGAGCGTGTTCTGGCAATGTCAGCTTCGCGATCACAATCCCTCTTGCAATCCTCCCATGGTGGGCGTTGGCTCGCCTCTCTCTTGCTGGTCTGAGGGTGAGCTGGAGCGAGAGCAGGTTGCTGGGCATGCAGCAACTGTTCAATTTCCAGTAGGCATTCTGAATTGCGCACAGCAGTGTCTGAATAAAGCGCGAGGGCTACATTGATCACAGAATCTCGCTCCTTGCGCTCGAGATATAGGGAGAGATGGACAGATCGTGGCCAGTGCGCTCAAGCGGCATGCATGCGGCTCTCGTCTGCACGGCTGCCTTACTCGCTCCAAGGAGCCGTGCCTTTGTTGCCACGCCAATTGCCTTAAGGAAGCCCAGACAAACACGGGCTGGTTTCAAAAAAGGAACAACAGCTCCTGCGAATCGAACCTCTTGCAATCCAGCCTGATGTAAATGTACTGCAGAGAGTGTGGATGTGGAAGAAGGTAATCGAATGCTAGTATACCGGTATACCGGTCGACTGTTGCTACTCGGTGCTTGTGGATCGCGGAAAGGTGCGGGATGGCGTGACAGAACAATAGGCGTTCAGAAGAAGAAGGGCTGAGTCTACGTACCCAGGCGATTTGTGCCGCTCGAAGTGAGGCAGTTGGGCTTGCCAGGCATCAGCGATCCAAGTTCTCGCGCTACCAGAGAACACTAAAAAAAAGGGAGAAGCCCAGGCTGAGGCCGAGTTATCTCCATGATTTCAAAATGTGCACTGGGTACAGCTTGTTAAAGCATGGTCTTCCTGGCTCCCAGGGTGCACAGAACAACATCTTAAGTTCACAGCTGAGACCCTTCTCTCTTTTCTCGTTGATGCCCATGCCAAGTGGGGATTCGCCCGCTCCTGCCCGAACGAAGATGGAGACAGCCAGTTCGCATGCTGATGCAGTTTCCCCACTCTGTTCACAAGATGTAAGCCGGGCTGCACCGTTCCCCCTCCTGGGTTGAAGTGTAGGTCAGTGTTCTCTGTCTGTCTCAGCCTCTGCTCCGCACCTTCGTATTGCCAAGAGAACGCACTGCCGCAAGGTGCCTGTACAGGTCTCGCAAAAATTGATCAACCCCTGTCCAACTTTGGGATCGTCACGAATTTCGGCTACACTCGCAGATCAGGCAGCGCTGCATGGGTCGTCACAGACCCCAGTGCCCAGAGAAAGATCGAGCTCAAAGGAGACACAGGCTTCCCAAGCAAAAACCAGAGATACTCCCATGAGTTGCTGTGGTGACGGCGCCGAGGGTGGTCGTCTGATCAAGCTTGCTTGCTCCTTTAGCCTTTCGGATGGTGCATCCTCGCACCTGAGGATCCATGATGACCCTGGTGGGATCATTCGCCTCTCAGCTGGGTGTGCCCAGCTTTATCGCCAAGGTGCTGGAGAAAGGACCTGTGGCCGACAAGCGGGTGAATGCTGTTTAAGTCTGCTTGGTGCAGATGCGAGCCATCACGAGCCCGAGGAACTCATGGAAAACCCGACTGCCCGAAAGTGTGGAAAGTCACGAGTGAAGCACGTCGACTCCGGCCACAAGCATCGGTAGACGCAGCGCTTATGCCAAGCTCCTCCAGAAACCCATCCCAAAGGCCTGCTGAGTTTCAGCGTGCTGTCAGTGCGCCGTGTGACACTATGTGACTGTAGGAGCAGCCCAGTAAAACAAGGGTTCTTATGACGGGAAGTGCTGTGCCTAGGGCGCAGGGGGACCCAAGCAGCTTGGAGGAGGCCGAGGCCGTTCTTCCCATTACTCAGACATGCTCATGCCCTAGACCCTCAGCCGTGCATTCGCTACTGAAGGCTGAAGTCAGCAACGAGAGCTACGACAGCGATGAATGCAGTAGCAATGGCGACGATGCGTTCGTTGAACATGCCATGGCTGAGGTGGACAAGTGGATTCATTGCACTTTGTCCCACATGAGTTCATCAGTGTAAATGTTGCGCGGCGAAGCCGCACATTTTCCACAGGGTGAATGAGTACCCATGCTAGCACGTTGTGCCTTCAAAGGGCGCTGGATTGGATCATATTTTCTGTGGCTTTGCCACGGTGCTGGTAACCGCCGTCGCTGAAAGCGTGCGCGGTGTTGCAGCCTGGACAACCCATCGCTGGCGCCGGCGTCTCTCCACAGAAGAATTACTGACGCACCTTGGCATGTAGCTTTGCTGCTATTGGTGTGTGCCTCACTGCCAGGCGGAGAGGTGTGTACAGAAAGCCGACGGCGAGGCCTTGGCAGAGGACTTGAAGATGCTCTTCTTCGAGGCCGGAGCACCCGTCCATCCTCATATCCGGGTGTGGCTTGAGCAGGCCACAGCGAAAGATGCGACTCTTGTGGATGCGATTTTCTATGGCTTGGCGGAAGGCAAGTTACGGGGACATCAGGCACCATGAGGTGAGTTCCCTGAAATGCAGGTTTGACGTCGGAGCAGCACAAGCCCGAATCTGACGACGAGATCGTGCTTACAGCACCTCCTCGAAGACGAGAGGCCAATAGAAGTCATGCTAGATTTGTTGCAGTCTCCTCTCTTCAGCTGGTCTTTCAGGTGCACGATCGGAACAAGAAATGCTGTTGAGGGGGTTCCGAACCGGATGCAGCTGTACAGAGAAGCTTGCAGGCGCCCCCCTGATTTGGCTCATTTATGTTTTTCGAGTTGGCTGTGTGTGCAGGGGCGTGCAGTCAATTCGCCTGAGCCCAGCCCGGAGCAGTAAAGTAGTACAGACACTGAGCAGACCACTGCACAAAGATGCAGAGACGGCTCTGGCCCTGTGCAGCTCCGCACCTCGCGAACTTGCGAGGTCGAGCCAAGAATCCAGAACCACCATGCAAAATAAAGGCAAGTACTGCGTCTGCGCCGCATGCCGAAAATGTCAAGAAGAAGAAAAAGCTGATGAATATGAAACACGTGGCATCATGGCTCACATCTCCGTTCAGTCGAACCATGATAACCATGCCCAACCTCACAAGACACCTGGCTTTTGGGCAAGGTACCTGTTAACTATTGCACTCTGTGCAGCGGAGCTTCAAAGGAGAGAGCACTGAAAATCCGTGAACCTCGCCGGCCTTGCCGCACTGACTCCCATCCCGCCTTACTCGAGCTTGCATCCTCCTGGCCTGGAATGCACCATGGGCCTGCCGGGCCTGCCGCTCAAAGTTCTGCGATGGGTTTTGCTCTTAACCGCATGACCCTCTTGCACGTCGACACTTTGACGTGAAGTGCTACTGCTACTGCTACGGCTTTTGATGCCTTTTGGGATCCCTCTCGTCCGCAATCAATGAAGAGAGGCCTTGACATGCCTTTGAATCCTCCGAGAGCCTTCTGGTTTGTGTGAGACGAATCTGTAGGATTCGTCAGGCTTTGGCCACGTCTGGGAAGTGATTTGTAGGATTCTGGATTCGCTGAGCACAGCGATGGTAGCCAAGAGCCGGCTTTTCCCTGTCCGTAAAGCTAAGGGATGCTTGCGATCAGAGCGAGCACGGAGCTTAGTCCAGGGCTTGTGCGCCGTTGGCAAAGTTTTCAGAAGAGAGACGGAATAGATGATAGCAGAAAATCATATCTAAATTTTATCGCTAACGCGAGGCCGCCTCGGCAATGGTAGTCGCGCCCCCTCCCCCCACCCCCTCCCCCCCCCGCCCACCCTCCCCCCCTCCCCCTCCCACGAAAAAGCCCCCCCCCCCCTCCTCCCCCCCAAAAAAGCAGCGAAATTGGAGCCGACCCCCACCAGATCGCGCCACTGGGAGGGGGTAGGGGGTGGGTTGCTGCTCTACTACAACCACCCAAACTCCCCGAACCCACTGATCCAAACGCCTGGGGCCTCCGGCCTCGGCGGATATATCTACTTGTAACATGTAATGATGTTTGGTAGTTGGGTGCCTGTGAAGTGCATAGCCTTCTCCTTATACACCCGAGCATGCGCTCTCGTCGAGGGTTGGTGCACCCATATAACATTCCCGTCCTTCCCCGAAGATTTCACGCATCTCGCCGCTTTGACATTGCATGTACGCAAGCGCGGCAGTCACAGAAGAACAGCTGGGCACAGCCTCTTCAGCCCACCCTCAGTGTTTGCTTCCCAACCCAAGGGCCAACGGATCCGAGGCCCGCGACGTCCAGTCAGCTGTCGGGAAGCTCGGACTCTGATGACAACGAGGAGGGCATCATTCCAGCGGAGGTGCAGAGCGATGACTCATGGTATCTCATGGTTCAAGTTTTCAATCGTTGTTGTCGGTTGGGTTGAGAGAAGATAGATGTGCCAAGCAGTTGCCAGCTAAGATCCGCTGAATGCCGAAGTCTGCTCGGGCAATGCTTTCATGGTAGGCTGTCTTGCCTGGCATCATGGAGATTCCCTGTGAGTCGCACTTACAGGCTATCGTGAGCACATGCCATGGGCAGTCAGGATGGGTCATGTGACACTGTTTTGAAAGGTCCCATGCTTCGGCACGCTGCCGATGCCCTCCCACTCCCCAGCTTCGCCCTTGCCTCAGCGCTCTTTTCTGCATCGCAGAAGAGATGTCAGAGGACTGTCGGAGGGTTACGGATTCTTAAGAACTAGGACTAGAACAAGTGACAAAGGTTTTCAGCCACTGCTCCAACATGAGCAGACGGTGGGGCATAGTGCCCGGTCGGATTGCAAGCGAGGTCACTAAGGGGCTGGGTGGTTCCCCAGCCCTCCTTGGAGGCAGGGCATGTTGCGGCCTACGCGAGGGATCCTCGAATTTTCAGACCAGGACTTCGGTGGCCCACCAGATGGAGAACAGCTGGCTCGTCTTCCAAGGAGCCTGGTCCGGTAATCGGCACAAGGAATCTGCAAGAGCGAGAGCTAATGTCACGGTACTACACTACAAGGAAGCACTGATACAGTGCTCGTCCGCCCTCGGACACTCCTCAAGGTGGTGTTCGTCGATCTCCTTACATCACCAGGATTAAAGTTCGTCGGACTTGGTTACACCATCTTGCGGAGGACCCGGAGTACTTACAAGTGCATTCTACGCGGACTTGCTAGCGGAGGAGTTAATCACCGGAACAAAACTACACTACTATACCGTTCCGGACGGAGGACTTGGTGCAGGAGTCTAGGGCAAAAAGGGGTTTGTACCCTGTTCAAGCGCGACATACAGAGTGCGACGAACTTTCGTCCTGCCGCAGTATGCAAAGGTTCGCAGGGGGCTGCGTTTTTCCGAAGTCTCTGCAAGATTGGTGCGTTTGCGAGTACATCCTTGTCGTTTGGAGCCAGTATCCCGTGTTTGGTGGGGTTCGCATGGGTTCGCGAGTACATCGTCGGTTGCATGGTGGTGTCTCATCTACCTCCAAGATGTTGCGAGGTCGTCGTCGGATCTCGAGGCTGTTTCTGCAGCATCCTAAATACCCCCGATTCCAAACAGATCGTCGATGGACATGACAAAAGAAGTTCCACGAGCCTGTGGCAGGGATTTGCCGCGTGTCATAGCTCTCTGGACGACCCAAATGAAAATCGCATGTGCTTGTCACTCCTTGGGCCAAGCCGCCTAGGCCCAGGCTCTTGCAGGATCATGGCAGTTCGCGGACCAGAGTTCACACAGCCACGGCCAGGTATGAACAAGCCACCATGCACTAGATCCCACAGCCCACCTGCTGAGATGCATTACCTTACATCAGCTGCACCTCCTGTTTAATCCTGAATCACTGGTGTGTGGTGCTGATGTGACAGTTTCAGGAGCCACTTGATGTTTGCTGGCGCCTCTCGTGGCTCTGCCGTCCCTTGGCTGCAATCCAGCAAATTGGGTCACAACCCACAGTCTCCACAGCTGACGGCATAGCAGCTTAGCATGACATGTGTACTCCTGGGGAAGCAGGTCAACTTGCCCAAGAGATCGGAAGCACGGAGACCTTTACCCTCACCGTGGCGAACTCGGTTTCTACAAGACAAATGCTTTTGCCTGTCGCGACACTGCTAAAGGCTGAACCAGCTGCCTCACAGACTTCGCGGCCCGCTCGAGTCTCAAACTTGCCCCGAGCGGATGGGAATGTACAGCAAAAACATCTTAATCGCCAGGCGGCGCCCAGCCTTCTTCGCTTCGAGTTATACGGGGCCTCCAGCCGCCCCGCAGGCGGAACGCTTCTTTGTCGGCTTCGCCTACACTTCAGACGGTCACCTGTCTGGCAGGGTGATGGCGCCTGCGCCAGCGAACGCAGCTGCAGCTCCGGAAGCTCTAGCAGCTGGGACACGAACTTGACGTCATGAGCGACCATTTGGCAAACTTCACGCTAGTTCGACAGTCGAAGGGATCGAGAAAGTGCTTTGACTTTATGCGCCTCCAGGCCGACTCTTCGACGCAGAGGCACTGGCAGAACATTTTCATCGCTGTCTTTCCAGTCTTCCCATTCCTTCTTTCAGGTTGACGAAGAGAGCCACAGGAACGTGCTTCCGTTGGCAAACACCTGAGTTTGGAGGCTTTCATGCAAGCTATCACGAGATGCCAAGCAGAAGGCTGCCAGTCGATCTGGCCGCTCACGCCCCGGACCTCTTACGCAGCCACTCGGCGATGCAGCGGAACTCAGCTCCACTGCAGCTTGCGCACTACGTAGCTGGCAAAAGCCGTCTGATGCAGGCCCACGAAAGAGCACGGTCTGTGCCCCTACATGACCGGAATCACAGCAGAATGGTCGCTTGACAGCAAGCATATGGCTTGCAGGGGACATGTTGAGTCGGTGAGGCAGCGACCACATGCCCAATGCTCTTTGCCACAGGCTTTGATCTTCTACGACCAGGTATCACCGCCCAGCGCTGGTGTAGAAGAGGACAAGCGCGTTTGCTTGTTTGTGGCACCCGAGTGGCACCTCAGCGCGAAAGAGGCACCTCCAGGGGAGCCCTGGGCTGAAGCTGCCCGACCCTTGAGACACGGAAGGATACGGAAGGAAGAGTTCTCGGAGTCCAGCACGTCCCAGGTAGCACCCGGCAACCGTGAGGCCGAGGCCAGCGAGGAGCGCTCCAAAGGGCTTTCGTCTTTGCGCGCGGATGCTTTGCGCGGATGCGCGCGAGCACCAGGAGAGGCTTGCATCCGGCCACGTGCCTCTCCCGGACTTGTCATCACCTTGGCAAGTGGCCGAGGCAAAGATCTCGTCGCCGTCATTTGTCAAAGCAGTGATGACCCTTCTGCCAGGAACTGGGCCAGTCAGGGCGCATGGTACCTCCCAGGTACCTCCTCGTTCGGTTAGGCCACCGGCCTGCACAGCATAGCCGTGGAAGCCTTTCGTTTCTCGGTGTCCCAAGCTGGGGGCGAGGCTCATAGTAGGTAGAGACCAAGAGAGAGAGAGAGAGAGAGATATATATATATATATCCTCTAGCCCTGCCGAAAGAAAGAGAGAGAGAGAGAGATATATATATATATACATACATATAGCGGGCTGGTGTGCCTCTGGTTGAGTCGGGGAGCCTTTCCTCTAATCCAGGCAGTATTTTCTTTCAAGCTTCTAGTCTTTCAAGCTTTCAAGCTTCGAGTCCTTGGTGCAACCGAAACCAGGGCAAAGCTCCACCTTTGCCACTAACCGGGGACATTTCTCTTCGTATTCATGCACTTATGTTTGTTGTTCAATGTTCCCGATTGGAAGCCATGGCTACTTTCAGAAGCCTTGTGGAGCAGTTTTGTCTTGGCTAATCCCCTCCGTAACATACGGGGGCGCACTCGCGCGCGGGCTACGGGGCCTCCCCCTAGTCCGTTACCAGAAAGAGAGATATAGATATGGATATATATATATATATAGATAGATAGATAGATAGATAAATAGATAGATAGATAGAGATATACATATATATATATATCCTAGCCCTAGCCCTGGCGAAAGAAAGAAAGAAGTATGTATGTATATATATATATACACATGTGTTCATATGTGTGTGTGTGTGAACTTCGCTAGCACATGGGAATAGAGGGTCACTCCTATTGGTTGTGAGCATTAAACATTAAGTTGCGTATTTTGCTAACATGTTGTGCCAGCAATTTGACTATTGCAGTTCCAAATCAACTGGTATACACAGCGGGGGGCCAGGAACCCACAGTCACCTGTCCTGGCCAACGAAGACCAGGTGACGAGGGAGTGAAAACGTACCTGCAAAAAAGCTGGGGCCCCTGGGCCTCGAGATTAGACAAAGCCAGGCGCCTGAGCTGGCAAGATTAGAGCAACCAATGTTTTTGCATGACAGTTTGCAACACCCTGCCCCACCCTACTTTGCTCGTCCAGACTTCTTCCCTTGCCGAAATCCATCAGTGTGATCCAGCATGGGTCGCGGTGACTCCAGTGTACCATACCACAAAAGCGTGCCACAACACCTGCCGCTACGACATATCTTCAGTGGTGTTACCTTCACTCTATGGACTGTTCGGCTTGTGCAACAGGTGAAGATCAGGACAGCAACCAGGAACAGTTGCACCTCCACGCGGCTCTCATCAGCTCAGCGCATGCTTCAGCTCGCATGGGTTATGTTTTTGGCTTTTCACATAGCAGATACAACATCATGAAACGCAATGGCACGTCGGCAGATCTGACACCTAGCCAGAGAAGACGCACGGAGCAACGATTGGATGACATTTACTCCGTCATCCTAAAACCGGGAATTTGGGCACTGTGAATTCACGTACCCGTTAACGCGGCTGGAAGGACCACAAGACCAGAGGATCCAGGAAACAGAAAACAAAAAATATTCCCAGAGAAAAACCAAAAAAAAAACCTAGAAAAAATGGACTACCTGTGCCTTTCCTACCACCTGATTGCGATACATGGCTATTGCTGCAAGCCCCAGATGCACGTTGAGAAACGGCTGCGAAAAGCAAAAGCATGTAGAGAAAGTGCACGCAATCAACGAAATGCACAAAGCTTGACAGCGCATGCTTGTTCGCGGCAAGGTATTTCCTGTTTAGTTGTTGTATGCCCAGTGAAACGTCCATTTCGGGAGATTGGGGATGCTGTTTACTTTCCACCAATATGGTACGCGTTGTTCATGTTGTTTAAGTAGGAACTGACATCGGTAGATCTGGAAGGTGTGGTCATTGACAAGGTTGCAAATCTGATCCTGCACATACATGTCTAGGTCGAGTCTAGGTATGCAAGGCACAGGTTTGAAGTACTTTGAAGTCCCCCCCCGAAAAGCATGTCAAATATAATCTCGCGCTTAGGCTTTTGATGCAAAACGGAAAACAAAAAATCCCAGAAAAAACACAAAATAATTCCTCAATTAATTATGCGACCTTGCAGGGCTCTGTGTCTCTCTCTCTCTCTCTCTCTCTCTCGCGGCCACGGCAGACGCAGACCGGCGAAGCCGAGAAGGAAAACGAAGTAGAGCGAACATGTCTTTCGCGATTTAGGACGTGGGGGTGGGGAAGAAAAGTCTAATCCCAGACCCCCGCAGGCCCCCCCCCAGATAGCCTGGGGCAATACAACAACTTTCATGGTTGACATGTCAGTGTTGCAGGGGGGCCAGGCATTTGTGGGTGTGTGTGTCCTGGGCAACGAAGAGCCCCTGCTCCAGCAGATTAGAAAAAGTTAAGCCCCTGAGCTGGCAAGATTAGCCACAGCAGTGCTCAGTTATGGCACACCAGTATACATGCACGGTGGCAACATTCCAGTTCGGAGAAGATGATAGTCAGCATGGAAGCCTGAAGCCAGGGATCAAGCAGTGCAGCAAAGATCCTCAGGTGAATGCATTCCGGCCGAGACGGGTGCAGCACCGGTTCATCGCTCCAGGACTCGGCGCCATCTCGGGGAGCTGTCATTGCTTCTTTCAGTGAAGAGGTTTTGGAAATCTGGCCAGGTTGGACTGTGGCCCGCAGTGGAGGGACTTCCTGAACTTTACGGGGGCATCCAGCCCCGACGGGGTCTCTCTGGAGGACTGCTTTCATCTGAATAGTATAGTTTTAAAGGCCCAATTGCCAAAGCAACAATGCGTTGGTCAGTGCATTTCTCTCGCTCTCTTTGTGTTTGTGTCAGTATCTGTGTCTCTCTCTCTGTCTCTGTGTCTCAGTCTCTCTCTGTGTGTCTCTCTCTGTGTCTCTCTCCATGTCTCTCTCCATGTCTCTCTCTGTGTCTCTCTCCGTGTCTCTCTCCATGTCTCTTTCCGTGTCTCTCTCCGTGTGTCTCTCTCCGTGTCTCTCCCCGTGCGTCTCTCCCCGTGTATCTCTCCGTGTGTCTCTCTCCGTGTGTCTCTCCCCGTGTGTCTCTCTCCGTGTGTCTCTCCCCATGCGTCTCTCCCCGTGCATCTCTCTCTCCGTGTGTGTCTCCCTGTGTGTCTCTCTCTGTGTGTCTCGCTCCGTGTGCCTTGCTCCGCGCGTCTCTCCCCGTGTGTCTCTCTCTGTGCGTCTCTCTCGTGCGTCTCTCTCCGTGCGTCTCTCCGCGGGTCTCTCCCCCTCCCTCCCTCTCCCTCTCCCTCGATCCCTAGGAAGGTTGTTTGGAAACAGCTTCGCTTTGTTTGGCTTGGCTTGGCTCTCCTTCTGTGTGGTGCGGGCGACTGGGTTTGTGGGGGTGACTGCACGGCGTGTGCGGGGGATCTGGGGATTGGGATGGCTTGGGAGCCCGTCGTGCAGGTTGTCAGCAAGTTGCATGCATCAGGAGCAGCATTTCTATAGCGTCTGCCGGAGGGCATAGGATTGATGGCTGGTTCGGGCGCGCCGATTATATGTATGAGGGCTTGAACGAGTGCAAGTAGTGTGTGGGGTTGGGAAACTCGGGTTCAGGGCAGAGCCGTGCCGGGCTAGGAGGTGCGGTTGCGGCTGGTGTAGGGTCTGGTTTCGGGGCTTAAGGGTTGTCTCGGGCAAGGTTTGTGCCTGTCTTATGTTTTGGGGTTTAGGGGCAGCAGGTGCACGTCGTGGGGCTTGCGGGTGGGAGAGACGGCTTCTGCAAAAGGTTATGCAAGAAGAAGGGTTAAGATTTCTTACTTTGAATCGGCTTGGCCGTGCGCGTCTTGTCTTGTTTCTGTCTGCATTTTGGGCGTGCATGGCGTGTGCTTGGGGCACGGGTTGGCTGGGAGTCGCCGTCACCATGTGAAACCCAATTAAAGCGACAATGAGTGAGGTGCGGTGGTCCAGTGGTTGTGGACTATGAGACTCGACGTGGCTAAATCGCATCCCGCTGCGCGCAGGAGGTTTTGACATGTCCCTGCTGCTTGGGCATCTTCCGCCAGCCCGTGGCGCTTCCTTGCGGACATAATCTGTGCCGTCGGGGGCTTCGCGCTTCGTGTTTGGAACGCTTCAGTCAGGTTTAGTGGCATGCCGAGATTGGCAGACATTGCCGAGGTGGCTGCTATGTCCAGGTATTTTCACAGCCTAGCTCTTCTCGAAGATGTCCTCTGTGCCGCACGGACACCTTGCTGTGTTGAAGGGTCCGCATTCAAGACATCTTGGTTCATCTCATGGGATGGTTGATCATTGACTCCCGAAGCGACAGGACCTGCCTCGATTTGAACTGCGTGTGAATGTGGCCCTAGCAGCGGTTTCGGATTCGCTGCGCGCCTTCCAAGCCGTTCGAAGGCATGCTGGGCAAAAGCTTTTGCAGATAATCCCAAGCGGTGACTCGCCTAGCTTGTGAGGCCGCACCCGCGGCCAAATCTTGGAGACCAGGGTGCGCAGGAGCCGGAAGAGGTCTCGAAGGAATGAATGCCAAAGGATGCTAGAGTCGGTGGTCTTGAAATGTACCTGTTACACTGACGTACTGGCCAGCTGTCATTCTCGTATTTCCGTGGCAATCAATCATTGTCTCTCCATCTTGCGCTGTAGACCGTCCAGAGTTCTGTTTCATAAAAGTTTCACAGTTCGGCAGGTAGCATGCATGATTTCATGCCGTCCTGCTTGACAATCCATATAGATGCCGATTGTTATGGGAAACGACATAGAGCCAAGATGTCTGGTTCTGGTGCTGTTGATCTCACCAAGCTCGAGAGCTGCTTGCTGCCCGCTTCGGCTGCAGGAATTCAGGTCTCGTGTCAAGTGCAACAACCGCAGCCAGCTTTCAGCCAACCAACAGCAAAATGGAAGGACGGGGCGAGTAGCAGCAGTGCCAAGATAAAGCACGGCGGCCCACCAACAAACGCACCGCAGCCAGCCCTTCAAGACCCTTTGCAAAGTGGAGCCGACCGTGTGAGCGAGCTGCAAGCATGTCACGTTTTTCCTCCATCGATGGTCAGCACTCTGCGCTGCGCGACTTGGAGCGACAGCGCCTGGAAAAGCTGATGGGGCAGCTGCGCCGAGAGGCGGGGCGGTGTGAAATCTAAACGCAAGAGATGCAAGTTTGCGAGTGAGGTGGAGCCGAAGGCGGACAAGGTTGGCCGCCGCTTCCAGCCCCCAGGGCGGCGGAAGGAGCGGCCGAAGCCGGCAGCCGCGGCAGCCGTGCTGGATCCTGGCCCTGGCGGCCCTGGCGGCTGTGACGGCGGCCGTCCGGACGTGGCGCCTACTCCCAAGGAGCCCAAGCCGCCGGCAGCGACGGTGCCAAGCGCAGAGATGGCCTGGTTGTTGCGAGTTAGCGAGCGATTCGACGAAGAGGCAAGAGAGGCGCCCTTGCCGGAAAGCCGCTACTTGTAGCGACTGCTCGCGACTTTTTGCAGATGACTGCAGGTGCACTCTTTTCTGGTCCAAAACGGACTGGATCAGTTTGTCGGTCCCTCGAGTGAAGACAGCCATGCATGGCTGTTTCATTGAAGATTTCTAGGCGCCATTGCTGGCTAATGGACCCGGTGCGCCTGGGGCTTCCCTCGAGGTGCGCTCCGAGCGCAGTGTTCTCCCGGAACATCCCACAGCGTCGCCCAGGCACTGCATTCAGCCTCCGAGGAGCTCTTGGAAGAGGCGCGCCGAGTGTGAGAAGGGCCGGGGCCGGCCGCAAGCAACGCAAGGCGGGCTTACCGGCCTCGCCGAGGCGGCATCTCTTGCAAGCCCTGAAGGCGCAAAGCGAATCCGATGTAGGTGGAGCCAGCGCGCATCATTCCCCGGCTGCAGGCCTCGGCGGCTGAAGACGCACCAGTGCCAGGCCGCGGCGGCTCCGACACGCCGAGTTGCCTTCTGAAGGCCATTGAATTCCATCTGGGCCATTGTCCAGGTGCGAACTTCTCGGTCTCACCCACTGATTGCCAGCATTGGGGTCGTCTTGGGCCACCGGCTTAGCCCTCAAAGTCTCGTCAAGCGGCAGCTGCGACGGGTGCTGAGGCACTTGCCTGCGGGCTGGCATCGATGTTCGCGAGGACCCAACCTGACAAATGGAAGTCAACCTAAGGATACCTGTACTGCCAGTTTACATCTACGAGAGACGGCAGCATTCAGGAGAGCAGCGCCCGCATTGCCCCACTCGTTGGGGTCTCGAGCAGAGAGAACGGCAATTGAAAGATGAAGCTTGCGTCATTGTGTTCTGATGTGAACTTAGTTCCAGCGCCAGTTGCTCATGCTGATGCAGCTGTGGGCGATGACAGTCCGCTTCCATTGCTGGAGGAGGATGTGAAGGCAGAGGGAAATGCGATAGAGGGAGACAGCGGCTGTCCGTCACAAGATGCGGCTCTCATGGAGGTGGGAAGCCCGAAGGTGGCCGCGCCTCGGCTTGGTTGTCGTTTTGATCTGGTGGGGCCTGGTGGGCCTCCGGCTCAGGAGCGCCGGCCCCCTTCGAGCAGGGCCTCCTCTAAACAGGCAGCCGAATGCAGTGGTTGAAGCATGTTGAAGCGTTCCCTATGAGTCCAGTCACAGGCGAATGCAGGGCCCGACAGAGCACTAGAACGCAGAAGCTCCGTCTCAAGTGCGCAGAAGGCCCATGCCGAAGCCGCAATATGGTGCAGCTTCACTGGTGCTCGTCCCTGAAAGACGATGTGCCGTCGTGCAGGGCTGCTGCTACCAATGCTTCCGGCAAGTGTTCGTGGCGAGCGCGTTTCACCTCGAGCCCGAAGAGGTCGGGCCAGGGGCCGTCGGATGCGACCGGAGAGCGGACGCAGCACAGCTGACAGCGGCAGGAGCAGACCTCTCAGGCCTCTCGGCCCGGCACCTCGTCGGCCCAAAGCAGGCACCGAGCTCCATCCGTCGCCTCTCGTGGGCTCTGAGTTCAGAGATGGGAGGATCTTCTGCAGCTGCGACTGCGTGGAGCGCTTTAGACAGGCCTCCGCTCTCTGAGTGTGGTGTTTTTTGTTTTTGCTGTTTCGGTGTCACTTTGGTTCTCAAATGTTCTGAGTGTTCTATGAGGTGCTCGCGAGCAGAAGTGCTCGAGCAGTGGAGCCGCTGGCCTTGGAGCAGGGAAAGTGTTTTGGTAGTTGCAGTTTTTCTGAAACTTCTTCCCAAGGCTCTGCAAGCTCCGGCAAGTCGTTGAATCAAGCGCAGCGCTGGAAGCTGCCGCCCAGCATGATGCCCGAGCCTTCTGCTCTGCGAGCGTGCATTCTTATCTTTGGCCGTCGCAGATGCATGCGATGCATGCTAACATGCACTCAGTCTAAGGATCGGACCTCAGTCGATGCATGAGCTGCTGTTTGAAAAGGCCGATCTCGCCGGGTGCAGATTGAAGCATGGGTTCTTCGGGTCTTCGTCCTTTTCCTGTTGTGTCCAATCACAGCCTAGCTGCTTTATGTTGTTTTTTCTTCGCAGCGTCCGTGGGTTTCTCCTTCTTTCATCGTGTGTGGACTTTCCTCTGCAGCCAAGTTTGGCGTGATCGCCTGCGGCCTGCATCTTGGGCACCCGAAACATCATTGCTCTCAACTCTCAGCCCTACAGACCGATTGTATTCCACCGAGAAGATCTTGAGGGCGCCGAGACGCCGAGAAGCCCAGAGGAGAGTTGTTTGTTTGTCCTGTTAGGAGCTGTGCAAACTGGCAGCGGCCAGATCGAGAGTAGCATCAAAACTGATGTGTCTGATAAGATCTGAAGGTAGCTATAGTCAAGTTGCCAGGGCCGTGATAGCTTTCCGACTATTCAGGCCGCTTTAGCCCCATGACCTCCATGCCACACGCCGTGCCGGCCGTCAAGTCACGAAGCCGTCTTTGGTGCCGCACAGCCGGCCATGGCAGAGTCTTGCTTGCACGGAAGCGGCTGGCAGCGTGTGATGTTTTTCGTCTTTTGTTTTGTTTTCGGCCTGGACTGTCCACAGTAGAAGGTCGCACAGCAGGGGCAGAAGCGTAGAAGCACCAGCTGATTCCTTGCTGCACCGATCACGAAACCTAGGGCGATGATGCGGCGGAGAACAGGACTTCGCATTTAGACGCACTCTTGCATGGCAAACACTGGTGGAGATTCGCGGTCGATTGTCGAGCTTGCATGTAATTATCTGCATTGTCACTCTCTCATAGACCTGTGTTCCCGCTTGGAGGAAGAAGCATTTACTCAACTTGATTTGCGAAGTAAAAGCGAGGCTCGACGGAAAGGCCGTATGAGCGCTGATGTTGCGGAGTGTGTCGAAGGCATATGACAACCGCTGTACAAGTGTCCTGTGCCGCGTTCCTGGCAGGTGGACAGCCTCAGCTTTCCCATTCCACAGTTTATTGTGATTGGGAAGCAGAGTGTTGGCAAGTCGCGCCTGATCGAGGCGGGGAGACAGCAGAGTCGTAATTTCGCGCATGTAAGGCCAAACGCAGTGCACATCGGACTCCAAGGTTGCGTAAGTCTTTATGTACAGTTTAGCCGGCATTGTAGCGCGAGGGCCGCGGCCCGGGGTCCAAAGTGCTTGTCATTTCTGCATGGGGGGCGAGAAGCAGGGCGCATCAGGGCGCTAAAGGGGGGAGTTTACATAGTCCTCCGGTTAGACCAAGATGCCCTCGGCGGATTAGCAGATGTCTTGAATTGGACGTCCGCATCTCCTCTGTGCAGCAGACAAGTTGTTCTTGGCTCCGGCAAGCTGAAGCGTGATTTCGAGCTTTCCTCAACGCTTTGCAAGAGCCCGGCTTTAGACTTGGAGTCCCTTCAACTCCCAAGGGCAGGACTCAGTAGGACCTCGTGGTCCGGGCCGTTGCTGCAGGCCCTTGCTGGAGAGACCTTCAACTTCGTTTCAGGCTCTTTAGGATCCAGGCAGGTCTCGGCGGTTTGCATTTGAATATGCCTTGCGGACCCTCGGGGCAGGAGACCGACGGTGCTGGAGTTCCGGAATGTTCCGGGTTTGATGCCTTCCAGGCTTGGGGCCTGGCACAGATCCGCACGGCTTGCTCTGGCTTGCGGTTTTCAGGTGGTCGGTCTTTGACGAGAATCTCAAGAAATGGTCGACGTATCCGGTGCAAGAGGTGATGATCATCGTCGGCAATGCTCACGAGGCCAGTGATGGTCGTCGGCGAAGCAGCTGCGAGCCGAAGTTCGATTCTTCTCGCTCGGGAGGCTTGTGGACAGAACGTTAGCGAAATGCCCATACGCGTCAAGGTGGAGGGCGCCGGCCTCAATCAACCCCATCCGTAACTCGGGCTGTGTGAGAGTTTGCTGCGGAGGTCAAGACTGTACAGACCTTGGACTTGTGGACCTGCCTGGATTCAGGCTCCTGCATCTTCCGATCGTGTGCTTAACTTCCCTCTAAGGTCTTCGTGGTACGATCGTGGTATGTTCTTTCACATCACAACTTTAGGATTTGGGGTTCCCCAAAATTATTCTTACACTGTTCTAGGTTTGCCCACTGGCTGCTTCTGAACCATGTTTCCGCATCCGAGAGGCGGCGACCAGAA